ATCTATAGTATATGAGGACCCAAGGGTACCCCCAATATATAGTATATGAGAGCCCAAGGGTACCACCAATATATAGTGAATGAGGACCTAAGGGTACCTCCAACATATAGTATGTGAGGACCTAAGGGTATCCCCAATATATAGTATATGAGGACCCAAGGGTACCCCTTATATATAGTAGATGATTACCTAGGATAACCCCGTTTCAGAGTGCATGAAGAGTTTTAGGTATTTCAGTAAATGTTTATTCACTTTTATGAATTTTTTAAAGGGGGCTCCCCCTCAGAAACCAACTTTGTTATTTTTCATCCGATTTCAACCAAAATTTCAGAGAATGCTAGTCTTGGCTAGAATAGATTATGGTTAAAATATCTCCCGAAATCTGCGAGCTATTCACGAGTTATAGTCAATTCATTGGTCAAAAATACCCTTTACGCGGGGAAGGTTTTCAATATGAGGATTCGAGCTTAGCATGTCGGGGTGGTTTTTAAATTGTAGAGTACACTTAGGGCTAGACCCTAATAGGACCTGATTTTTTAATTTCCCTTTGTTTGATTTTTAAAAAAACTTTTTCGGAAAATTCTCAAATTCGTGGCAAAAAAATCGCTAATTAAAATCAAAGATCTAAGTTTTTTATTTAAACAAAGGAGAAATTCACAAATCGGGTCCTATTAGGGTCTAGCCTCAAGTGTCTGCTATATAACAAAAATAATGTTACCACTTTTATATTGAGTCGTTATTGAGAAAGGTTTCCCCGCGTAAATGGTTTACTCGAAAAAACTGATTTTGAGAAAAACGAAAAACAATGTTTTTGACTAAATATTCGAAATAAGTCTGCTTATGTTACCTGATATTTTCGCACTATTCGTCAAGCTTTATTAGATGGCGTATAGGCGGATATATCATAATGCTCTTGGCAGTACATATCATGCCAAAGTTGTGGTCATGGTTACTTATGCATAGATGTCACTGCAAGTCGCTCATGTTTTTATCAATTTTCTGGTTAATTCAGGAGATAACATTTCATTTTGAAGTTTTTGACCATTAGAGAAGCTTGTGTGTATTTTTCTATACAGTTTGACAACTGAAATTGCAATTGCTTATGCTAAAGGTCTTGAATGAAAATTTGTTTGGTGAATTTTCGATCAATGACACGTCTGAAGGTAGAAAATGGATTTCTGCTGGACTTTATGTATTGCTTTACATTGATCATCATTTCTGATCTTTCATCTTTACCAGTGGTTGTTTATAAATTTGTTTATTTTCAGATATACTTTACTTCAAAAGAGTAAATTTGAAATGCCTACTACTACAAAAGGTCATAAGACTCAAAAGAGGAGCAAGGTGGAAATTTGTCGTAAAGCTCGGTTATCTAAAGCCAAGCAATTACATTCGTCTAGTTCAGCTCGTTCATCATCATTGTTGTCATCTGAATTATCCAACAGTCTTGAAGAAATGTTCATTAGTTCATTATACTCGACAACAGCCCCATCATTTTCAAACACTACATTATATAACTTATTCACTTCACAACAAAAAATAATTTCGTATGAAAGCAGAAAAAATAAAGCAATAGTTGATAATGATGAAATGGATTTTTATCAAGTAATCCACAACAGCTTTTTATTAGAATTGATGAGAAATACCATATGTATTGAATGTAAAGAACCATGGGATGGAGAAATGCATATTAGTAAGAGAGAAGGTATGTATAGATGATATTGGTGTTTCTAGTAGTCTTCTTTGGCTTGTTTATAGAAATTTTTTTTTACTTTGTTCTGAAAAAAGCAAAAAACTCAATAATCAGGAAAATCATTCTTTCCACAGAAAAAAAATTTTAAATCTGAAGCAATTCTACATCATTTTTTTAGCTGATCCAACCTCTTTATTCAGTTTTGCAATTCTATAGGCTGTCAACTATGTGGATTTCTATGTAACTCATTTTCATTTTCATTTTTTTTTGCATCTAGGTTTATATTGTTCATTAGAATTTACATGCAAAAAATGCAAAAATACAATACAAATTAATACATCTAAGGTGATTCCACATACCAAACATCGTGATATTAATCTGCGTGTTCAGTTAGGTATATCAGTGTTTGATTCAATCAGAGAAAACTACTTATCTTGTCCTTTTCAGTCTTGATAAAGTTATAGCTTCTTTTCTAGGTGCACATTTGGCAGGGATTGGTCGTACTGGTATAGCTAAAGTATTTGGTGCTATGAATATAGCTCCACCAGAAAAGGAAGACAATTATGAAGAAATTGATAAAGGATTTTTATTACCATGTATAAAAAAATTTCAAAATAAATCAATGCAAGCTGCTATTTGTAAGTAATTTGTAAAAAAAAACAATAATATGTTTTCATTTCATTTTATGCTTGTTGTTTTTTAGATGAAGCTGTTGACGAGAATGATGGTGATCCAACAACCTTGACAGTTAGTGGAGATGGAACGTGGCAAAAGCGTGGCTTTAAAAGTATTCATGGAGTGGCTGCTGTTTTATCATGCAGCACAACACCAAAAGTACTCGATGTTCAACGTTTATCAAAAAAATGTTTGATATGCACTGGTGCATTGAGTGTGAAAAATAAAGATCTAGATTTATATAACGAAATTATTCATAATCATGACTGTGAATCAAATTATGATGGTTCATCTGGTAAGTTAGGATTTGTCTATCAAAAAACTGAAAATAAATCTATGTTGAACTTTTTTCTAGGAGGTATGGAATCATAAGGTATGCAAGACATATTTAAACGTTCCTTTCCAAAGTATGAAGTCCAGTACACTCGGTATGTACGAACCCAAAAATACTAGATAAAATGTTTTATTCATTTTTTAAAATATTACAGGTATGTTGGAGACGGAGACTCGTCGGTCATGTGGAATCTTACTCAGCATCCTCCGTATTCAGGTATCGAAATTGAAAAGATCGAAGACATCAATCATTGGTCAAAGAAAATGTTATATCGGTTGGAAAAGTTGACTCAAGAGTTGAAAGATACAATGCTAGATCCAGAAAAAAAACGAAAAGGAATTGGTGGTGTTAATCGCTTGACCAAGGATAAGCAATAAAGAGTGATTGACACTACTTTTTTTTTCATAAATAGATAATATTTTTTGTTGATTTGTTGTAGAAATGATGATAAAGTTCAAGTTTTATTATGCAAAATTGATCAAGGAATATAAAAACGATTTAGACATGATGCATAAATGCACGTGGGCAATTTATAAACATAAAGTAAGAGAACATATTGTAATACAAAGAGACGTTGTTCACTGTAATCATACTCATAACCTTTTAGATATCAACAAATGAGAAACCTGATCACGAGTGGTGTGGAGATTGGTGTGGATACAAAAAATCGTTACTCATAGGTACGTGCAAAATGACTTTTATAACCTTTGTTTTTCTGTTTTATTCATATAAGTTGTTCTAATTGTTTATTAAATATTTGTATTTATTTCAAAATAGGCAATATATATGACCACCAGAAATATGAATTGCTGTAAAAAGCTCGAAAAAAAAAACTCGAAAATAAAAATCTCGAAAAAAAATTCTCGAAAGATAAAATTTCGATAAAAGAAAATCTCGAAATAAAAATCTCGAAACTAAAAATCCAGAAATTTGAAATGTCGAAAAAGTAAAATCTCGATATGCAAAATGTCGAAAAATTACGATTCCCAACAATTAAAATTTCGAAAATCAAATCTCGAAAGGTGTCATCGTATTCCGCTGTCACTTCGATAATTTTACGTAAACTTTAATACCAATCAAAAATTCTTGATTGTTTTCATCCGTCCAGCTCATTCTTATATTCACTGTTCATGTAAATGTTTTCCTCCATTTTTTCTTCCATATACATGTCGTCTGTATAAGACGAACTGCTTTCATTCTTTTATTTACCATCCATCTGTACACGGCATCTTCATTTACATCGTTGTTGTACTTTGAACTTAATACACGGCGAACATGGCCCAAGTTGATCCAAATGAAATACCCTCAATTGAATTTATCTTAAGTAATAAGAATAAACGACTCCTCGTAATCGATAGTTACGTTTACCAACAAAACAAATTCACAGAAAAGGTGTCATATTGGATATGCGAAGAGAAAATGTGTTGGGCAGGTGTTCATCTTGATGCTCATGATCAATTTATTAAATTTACTAAACATGATCATAATCATATGCCGGTGCCTGAACGAGTTGAGATTCGCAAATTGATAATGAATGTTAAAACTCGAGTTCAGGACGAGACAACAGCTATCGGTCAGATTTATAACGAAGAACTTGGAAAAGCAAATCTTTCAAAATCAGCTCTTGCTGCTGCTGCTACAGCTAAAGAAATTAGTAAGTAAATTTTTCCGTTTTAGATAAATCTAATAATCTTTGCCTTGTAGATTCTACACTCAATCAGGCTCGTCGATTAACAACACCTAATCTTCCGACTTCTATTGACTTTCTTATTCCATCAAAATATAGAACAACAAATAATGGTGAACGATATTTATTGGGTGATCGCGTTCAACGTTATGATGGAGAGGTCGACAATCGAATACTTCTCTTTGCAACGGACGAGCAATTAAAAACACTGTTTACTTGTTCTCATATTATGATGGACGGAACATTCGATTGTTCTCCCTCTCATTTCGATCAAGTTTATTCCATTCATGGAATAAAAAACGACCATAGTAAGTCATTCTTATTATATCACTTAACCATTTACTTCTAATCTAATTGCACAGATTTTTTATGTGTTATCGCTCTTCTTGGTAATCGAACCGCGATTATATACAAAGAATTGTTCTCAATTCTTGCTAATCATGCTCGTCGACTTGATCTTCAATTTCGGCCACAAATGATTACATCTGATTTCGAGCCTGCTCTTATAAAAACAGTTGCAAATGAAGTACGTTGGCTTTTATTCTCTCCAATTAGTTCTTATTATAATCTTTAGTTTCCGAATACACGTCATATTGGGTGCAATTTTCATTTTGTAAATGCAATATATCGTCAAATACAACACCTTGGTTTGGTTACTGATTATCGTAATGATGAATGTGTACGATCAAGTGCACGTAAACTAATGGCACTTGCACTTGTTCCAATTGATAAGCTTGAACTTGCTTTTCAAAAAGTTGCACGTGAATCTCCACGTTCATTAAAACCATTAATCGATTATTTTAATCGATATTGGATGACAAAAGTGAAATGGACTTTATGGAATGTCTCAAATGTTGAATTGAGAACAAATAATATCGTAGAAGGTTAGGTTTTTTTTCTTTCTTCTTAGCTTGAATTTATCATTTAGGATGGAATCATCGATTCAATCGACTAGTATCTAAATATCATCCAAATATATGGCACTTATTTGATTGCTTGAAGAGAGAAGAAGTTATTGTTCGTCAACAAATGCTAAAGATGATGACGGGTGGAAAGAAGAGTAGAAGCAAAAAAACTCTTCTTCATCAACAACGAATTTCTTCACTTCAATTACAATTTAATCAAAAGAAAATAAAACTTGATGAATTTCTTGAAGGACTTTCACTATTGATTGGAGTCGGCAAATAATCGTTCTTCATCATAAATTTAGTTATTTTTTCTATTTTGTTAGTTCATGGTCATCAACTTTTAAAATAAAATTTTAATTATAAATATACATACTCCTTCATCGCTACTTCGATATTTTACATTGCAACTAATAGTTCGAGATTTTTTTTCGAAATTTGCCAATTTCGGAATTTTCCATTTCGAGATTTACTTTTTTCGATTTACTTTTTTTCGTAAAACCGATTTTTCGGAATTTTAATTTTTCGAGCTTTTCCTTTTTCGAAATTATTGTTTTCGTGATTTTTTTTCGAGATTTTCTTTTTCGAGGTTTTTTTTTCGAGCTTTTCACATATTACCAGAAATATTCTTTACCAAAATATGTTATGGAAGCTATTAAACCTGTATTTGATGAACTTGCTTCGAGTAAGCGCCTTCTATTCATAATAATTCTTACTCCTTTGTTTATGACGGATTTTTTAGAAGAAAGTTTAAAACGTGTGCTGAATGGATCCAGTCAAAATCCTAATGAGTCATTTCATTCACTCTTATGGAATATGGCTCCTAAGAACAGATTTTGTAGTGGAACTATTATTGATGGTATGCAAGAGATAAAGTGTCTCGATTGATATGATAACTCATTCGATGTATTTACTTCGTTCTAGTTCGTCTTGGGTTGGCTATTATGATATATAACGATGGTTACTTATCTATTGGCGAAATATTACATGAACTTCTAGGTATTTCACAGATTATTTTTTGTTTCTGTTGAAGGGTTCTAATTCCGGACTTTTGTTTCATAGGTGAAATGGGTCATTTTTCTTATATTGCATTTGATCGCATGAATAAACAACGGTTAAAAAAAGAAGCACAATGGAGAAAGAGAAGAGGACAACAAACAGGTGATGATGAAGATACAGACAATGATAAGGACGAAGAGAATGATGATGATACAGCTGAAGACTATCAATCTGGCGCATATTGAAGTGCGATTTATATCTTGTTGTTGTATATAAACATAACTATTTTTGAAAAAATCAAAACGATGAGTTTCACTTTTTTGTGTTTGCTTATTTGTTATTAGTAATTAAAACTATTCAGAGTAGATTAATCTTTGTTTGTGAGAGTACATTAGAAAGAAAGGAGGTTTTCACGGGAAAAATAGTTTCGATATGATGCATAGGGACGGAAAATGCATTGCATACTTGTATAAATATGCGCAATCAATTCAACATCATCGAAACCTAAATGAAATAAACTTTCGTGCTATACAGCTACAAAATTTTCCATACAATGGAAGTTCATATTCCTCAGCTTACGGACCGCCAGAAAAAACTCATCAGAATAAAAAACTAACCTTCTTCTTTTGACAGAAAAAATTATTTTAGCTTAAAGCCCATTGCAAGGACTATCAGAATATGCATAAATCCAGAAATCGAGTTTTTCTCGAAAACTCGACTTTTCTAGGGGAAGGGGGGGGGGGGGGGGGGGTTAAGTGTTAGCAGGCTCTTAATGATTAATATAAAAAACGTTTTATTCAATGCTGATGCAAATGGCAAGGCAGTCTTTCCGAAACTGAAAAACTTGAAAACAAAATCGCGAAAATTTCTCGAAAAACATGATAGTAGGCCCAAGTTTCAACCGATAAGTCCGTCAAAATCTGTCCATTTTCCGAAAAGCCATATATATTCTGAAAGAGGAAACTTCGGTGCATCTTCCTATCAGTGGCGTATCCAGGATTTTTAGACCAATGGGCAAACTTCTCTTATGCTAGAAAAAAATGTTGGGCGAAATGGGCAAGATTTTCATTCATGGGCCAAAAGTTTTTCGACCAAGCAAGTACTGATAACGGAAAAAAAAACACATAAAAAATGAAATGAGGTTCTTCTAATGAAATATGCATAAAAGTCAGATCTTAAGCACGTTCCACCAATAAAAGTCAATTTTCGTTAAAAACATGAAAGTTGAGATAAGTGTGTGAGAAGTTAGCTGCAAGTCTGTGCCCTTTTAAATGAGATATAGCTTGTTATTTCGTACATCATTTTTAGCGAATTTTTTAATGTTTTTCGTCATCAACTACCTGAAAAATAAGCTGATTTTTGATGAAATCGAAAAATCGTTTTCGTTTTTTCTCAGTTCCTGATTTGTCAAATGCTCAAAACCAAACTCCTCCACTCAGAGGAACTATACAGAATGGTCAAAAAGTAACGAAGCAGTCTTTAATTACGAATAACTTTTGATAGAAATAAGCTAGAGAGCTGCGGTTTTCGTCGTTTAAAAGAAAAAACAACTGTATCGAATCTGGAATACTAGATTTTTATGACAATATTTACTCGGAGTCTCCAGACATTTTTTGTAATAGAAATTATTGTGTAATGTGAAAGTTTTGGAATTTTAATTTTCAGTAGTGCATCAGAATCGTTAACTACGGTTCAATAATCTCTGTAGGTTCAACTCCAAAAAGATTTAGCAAATTATTAGTTCTTAACATTTTACTACGCGTTCTCGGCAGATTCTTGGCAAAAAGCCGAGTTTTTCTTGATATTTTGACGAAAAATTCACCTTTTAGGCCTATTTAAAAAGTCAAAGTTTTTTAAAGAAGCTTGTCAGGAAACCATGAGAAATTTTGTTATAAAAATCCGGTATTCAAGATCCGATACAGTTTTTTTCTGTTTTAAACAATGAAAATCGCAGTTCTCCAGCTTGTTCCTATCAAAAGTTATTCGCAATCAAAGACTGCTCCATTACTTTTCGACTACCCTGTATACATTTAATTTTTTTATTGAAACAGCATGTCAAAATGTGCGGCACTAAAGTGTCCTTCTTTTTAGTTAAGCTTTTTTCTGTTATATGTACAATCAATTTTATAAATTGAACTCCTTTCTTTAGAGAGTTTTTTGACTCATCACAATTGTAATTCCTTCTCTCCTTTCGAGAAATAAAAATTCAAAAAAAAGTTTTTAGTGTCCTGCATCGTGGCATGCTCTTTCCATAAAAAAAATTGAAATATATATATAGACCCGAGGCCGAAAAATTTAGAATGCTGAATCAGCTATTTCTGAACCTTGTTTGGTGAATATCTCTGTCAAACGTCATGGTATAGAACTGGAAATTTTACCATAGCTTCTCTATTATAGCTACAACAAATTCTCCAAATGTCATGGCATTAGAATGTTCCTGAGCTGAGATCGATTTTTGAGAGTGGAGAGACCTTAAGATTGAGTCATATATGTTTAGTCTATTTTGAATGTATCTATCTATAAGATTTATATTTCAAATTCAAATACCTAAATCAATACGACAACGATGTATTTGTGTGCATAATTTCCAAATTGCATCTGGATTCATATCGAGATCTTTATCGATGTATGCAGCAGCAAAGAAATAAACAATTTAAAAAAAGTAAAATTTCAATGGGCAAAGCCTTACGTTCAAAAATTACAATGGGCAAATCTTAAAATGAAATGGGCAATTGCCCATTTGCCTCCCCCTTGGATACGCCACTGCTTCCTATGATAAAAACTCAATTTCGATTTTTCGAAGAAAAATCGACTTTTCTGAGCGGGGGGGGGGGGGGGGCCTTAATTAATTCTGTTTTTTGAAATTTGCATGAAAGCAAAGCGCGCCTTATGAAAATTGTTTACGGCAGTAAATCCCGCGGCAGTAAATCCTGTACACGGATAAATATACATTCTCTTGTTCATAATTCAGAAATCGTATTAAGTCTGAATTTGTACAAGCTAAAATACTCACAGAAGTAATTAGCAAGATTGACAAATTCAAAGATGCTTACTTTAAATTTTATGATTTTCATTGTTCAATTATTAACTGTGAATCTTCTTGATAAACAATACAAAAAAAGTTCCATTGTTGCTTCGATTCTATTTTGTATTACATGTAATTGTCATCATTTTTTTATTTGAAAAGTTAAGACGTAAGAAGAAAAAAAAATCATAAGAAACTACTATACAGTACATTTGTTTACTCGACTGTTACCCTGTCCAGATTTACAGCCAAATACTCGATCGAACTCGGGAAAATTCGATGTTGGACCAATTACTCTGAAATAAAAATGAATTTGAAACTGAACATCAAAGAAATATGTCCTACCTGAATTGAAAAGGTGCATGTTCATCTTTTAAAAGATAATTCGTGAAAAATATATCTGTCCCTTTTGAACACCATATACGACCATAATTCATAAAAAACATTTGTTCTGCCGTATACTTAGCTAGACCTTGTAATTTTTTTGTCAAGTTGTCCATTAACTCGAGCCCAATTTTGATACGCCTAGAAAATGTACAATTTTATGTGTAACATCAGAAGTTACATGTCTTACGAAGACGGATGCTTTCAATCTGCCATCGTCAGCAATATTTTCACCAAGTGTTTGTACGCCACTTACCTGAATAAAGATAAAATTATCACAATAAACTTGGCAAGAAAAAAAGAGACCAGATGATTTATTTGAGTCACAGTGTAATTATTGTACTGATCGATCACACATTGTGTACGATTATCAAACGCCTCAAGTGTCTTATTAGTCCACCAAACAACTTTATTTCCATTTTTATCATATTGTCCTCCATTGTTGTCAAAACCATGTGTAATCTCGTGTCCTATGACTGCTCCAATACCTGAATTAGACACGCTCATTTTGTATTCATTTTTTTCCAATTAAAGAAATACTCACCACCATAGTTGAGGTACCTAAAATGATATTACAAACATTTTAAAATAAGAGATCCAATGTGCTTTACTTAGGTGCATCTTTATTGAACAATGGTGCTTGAAGAATGGCAGCTGGGAATAATAAAAACACACGAAGATATGAAGAGACATTAATACGAAAGCTTTCCTACGCATATAATTATACTAGCGGAGGTACCCGATGTATGGAGATGATACGATAGCATATACCTCACGGATGATAATACAATGTTGCCACAGTCCTCAAGAGCTATTCATCTGCAATATCATAAGCTAGACTTGAATCCTTTCTTTTTTAATTTTAATATTTAACACATTAAAGCCGTTATAGACTTTTTTTCTTTTTATATTTTTATTGATGAACTTCTTCCAAGCAAAAAAACAGCAAAATAGAAGCTTTCATTGTAAAGCTGTTTTGTAAACGATGTTCTTCGTTTTTCCATCTGGAGCAAAAACATATAAATTCTCTCCAGTTCCTACTCTCGAGCATGCCACATGAAGTTGACCATGAGAAAAGCAAGGAGTTTCTAAATTGACACCAGCAACTTTAAATGGGGGGTGTAACGATTCGTAACGAGAATTTTACAGGGCTTTCGTAATACGAAAGCCCTGTCATCGTTTTTACTACAGGGCTTTCGTAACGAATTTTGACAGGGCTTTCGTAACAAATTCTGACAGGGCTTTCGTATCAAATTTTTACAGAGCTTTCGTATCAAACTTATACAGGGCTTTCGTAACAATTTTAACAGGGCCTTCGTATCAAATTTTGACAGGGCTTTCGTAATCAAATTTTTATTGCATTCATAACTAAAATGAAAAACTGATATTAAAAAGAACAGGGCTTTCATTACGAATACCCCTACTTACAAATATCGCCTAAGTCATTAAATGGGATCCATTCGTAACAAGTTTTATATACTTAAATGGTCGAAATACATGGTACTATAATGTAAATGAATTATTTTGTATATATTTATAGATGTCGTTGTTAGTTCTGTGTATGAAAAGAGTATGACAATAAAACTAATGGACCAATAGGTTACCCATTAGTAAACCAATGTATATTTTTACTGTTTTCTGTTCAAACGAAGTATAGTCTTAACAAGTCATCATCACCGGTTGCATCAATGCCGAAGCTAATGAGAAATATCTCCAATAATCAGGTTACTCCAGCATCAAAACCTGTTATGAAGAATATTCAAACGTAAGTCAATTTGTCTTAATAGCTCGTTAATTTTTAACTTTAAAGAATATTATCGCTATCAACCTTTTTCATCAATATTTAGACGTTCAGCTACAGTTTGTATAACAAAAGAAAGAAAATCGAAAATTTCTCAATTAAATTCTAAGTGAGTATTGACGAATGTCATTTTACCTTATGTTCGTTTATGTAAATTAATATCATTTTCCTTTTTTTTAGTCGTTCATCATCATCGTCATCTGACGATTCACTGTCGTCCACTTCTTCTTCAGACTTATCGTATACTTCCTCTCGTTCATCATCACAAGAGAGTGATAACACATTAAATGTGTCATTTAAAAAACTGTCCCTTTCGTCAAACAATTTTAACACAACCACAACAAAATCGAAATCAATTGCAGCAACAGCTATTAATCCAGAAATCATAATCTCCTCAAAATCATCCGAACCATCAACAATAACACATCCAATTATGGGTCCTATGTCATATTTGAAAACGAAACGTGGTGGAACAAATTTGTGTATGAATGGATTTAGCTATCAAAAGTGTAAGGAAATGAAGAATGGAATAAAATGGTGGTGTTGTGAAAGTCGTAATGAATCGGTGAAATGTCGAATATTTTTATATACAAGTTTTAATCAAGGAGATGATGATCATCCACAATATGATTTTAAAAAAATAGTTGGAGACCATAATCATCAACCAGATAAAGACAAACTTATAATTCAAAAGTTCAAATCAGATTTAAAACAAATGACACAATCACCAACAGTCCCACCATCAATTGCCACTTTCAATGAACTTGTTGCAAATATGAAACTAGGAACAAGTGAAATGGCACAGTTACCATCATACAATAGTATTCGTAAGCATAAATAAATGAAAAAATTAATAAATTATTTGTAAAAAATATTTATTTTAGGTATGTCGCTTTGGAGAGCTCATAATAGAAATATGCCTCAACTGCCAACCGGCATCAATTTTCCTATTCCGGTTGAATTTTCCACCACAACTGATGATGAACCATTTATATTATTGGATCATTCATATGCCAAACAGACAAAAAGAATATTAATGTTTTCATCCGAAAAACAATTCAAAGTAATGTGTGAAAGTTCATCATTATATATGGATGGAACATTTGCTATAACACCTCGATTATTCAAGCAGACCTATATAATTCAAGCTCATGATATTCAATCAAAAAATGGTAAATTCTTCTTAAAAAATAAAACTTATTCTTTTCTGAAATTTCTTCTATTCTTATTTGCTTTTTAGTTCTACCAGTAGCTTGGATTCTTTTAAATGATAAAAAAGGTTCAACATACAAAATTTTATTCACAAAAATTATTCTTTTAGCAAAAACACGTGGATATGAATTTTCTCCATCAAATATAATGTCTGACTATGAGTCAGGAATTATATCAACTTGGAAAGAGTTGGTAAGTCTTGATAAAAAGTGATTCTTTTCTATACAAAATAATATATATTTTTCGCTTCTTTAGTTGCCTCAAACTAAACATGATGGTTGTTTTTTCCATTATCTACAGAAAATTGTTAAACGAATGAAAAAGTATGGTCTTTGGATGCATTATTTAAATGATAGTAATTTATACATATGGATTAAAAAAATGATGGCTATTCCAATGTTATCAGCAACAAAAATGCTAGAAGCATTTCAATTAATTGAAAAAGAAAAGAAAACCGATCGTAAATTAAAACGATTCATACCACAATTAAATAAAATGTTATTTTACTATAAGAAACAATGGCTAGCACCTGGTATGATCAATATGGTTTGTGTTTATAATAAAGCCAAAAGGACAAATAATTATAGTGAATGTAAGTGTTGTAGTTTCGTCTACTTTAATATACCTTTTCTCGTTACAGCTTATAACAAAACCCTCAAATCGACAATGCCTCGACGAAAACCATCAATTTGGCAATTTTCTCGTGTACTTAAAATGGAAGAAACCGGTTTTCGTATTAAAATGGCACAAGGTGGTGCCGGTAATTCATCTGTTAAATTAATAAAAGGATCGAATGTTATTGTTAGTGAACAAATCACAGAACAAATAAATGAAATTAATCATCAACTGATAAAGAATAAAATAGATCTTTTAAGTGCATTGGATAAATTACGTGAATGTGTTGGAACGAAATATGGTAAATATAGAGAAGAACGAAAAGAAAAAAAAATGTTGGTTGAGGCTAATCGATCGAAAATAACACGTCTTATAAAGACGGATAACGACGGAGAGAGTGATTATTAAAGAATAAATGATTCATCTGTTTATTTGTTTGTTTGTTTCTTTGTGTTAATAAAATAAATTGTTCGTGGTCTATATCTTAACTTATTTGAATAATGTTCGTCCATGTATACATTCATCATTTCTTTTCAGACTAGTCTGCTTATCGCCTAACCAAAAATTGTCTATATTCTTATTCATTTATTAAACGTTGAATACCGAATTTTATATCAGAAATGAATACCACGAAGAAATTCTTTTCTTTGTCGATAGTTCCAGATAGCGGTTATACTAGTTTTGGTAAGTGCTTCAAAAATTGTCTGACCAACAGAACTATTACAGTTTAATACTGATACATTATCTTTCTTTTTATGTTTAGATAATATTATTGAAAACGCAATGGACGATCCAAAATTCGATAAAATATATCCCGTGATTACAAATCAAAATCTATTAGAAGAGTTAATACGATTTATTGAGTTACCACCTAAGAAGATTAAAGGTGTTGGTGTCGCCAACGGAGAAATATTTAAAAAAGAAAATGGTCGACAAATCAGTGGAAGTCATCGTTATTTAGGAGTTTTAGAAGAAGATGGAACATATAATATTTATAAAAAGATTAAAGGTGGTCCATTAGATGGTAAGAACTTTTTCTTTTTTTCCTTCGTTTATTTGTTTCTTACTTTATTTATTTCTCTTTGTATTTCATAGGTCAAACTTGGTTAATTTTACGAGTACAAGATGAATGTTATCGTATGACAAAATTTATATTAGAATATGCCAAAACAATGGGTGATATGCCGAGAATTCGAGATGTAGAAGATTATTTCACCAATAAAAAGATTCTTGTTTGTCGTGATCGCATCCAAATTATTTTGAATCATTGTCACGATGCAGTTAACATTATCAATAAAAAGACTAATATTGATTATGATGTTACAATTTTATCAACTACAACCATACATCAAGAAAAGGAAAAGCTTTCTCTAGATAAAACAACTAATACTAACTCAATACAAATGTCAAAACAAAGTCAATCATCATCTGATCCTGTATTATTAGAGTAAAGATCGTTGTCTATTCTTTGTTTATTTATTAGTACTTCATATAGAGAATATTAATTTTCTGTTTCTTCTTTTCTATTTTAGTGATATCAATAAAATGAAATCATCAAAACGATTAGCTAAACCTGTTGTGAGCAATACTATATCACCACAGCCGGAGTCCAACACAACGAAGTAAGATTTGTTATTATGAAGATGGTATAAATAAATTCTGGGACGTATGTTCTTTTTAATTATATTCATTAGGTGTGGTACGCCGTTGGTGAATCGATTACGTAAACGTAAAATAACATCATCACCAATTACGGATGTGAAAAATAATCGAAAACCTGCTAAAGCTAATAGCTGTGGAGATCCTGTCTCGTCCATCACGTCAAAGAAACGTCGACGTCAATAACTAAATAGACTCCATTATATTAGGGTATTTAAATAGAATGAAAAGTCTTTTTTTGGTATCTTTTTTGTTCTCTACATCATGTCTCTATATTTTTCCACATTTGTTTACGCCTTTTTTTTGTTAAAGTTGTTGACTTAAAATCGAGGAAATCAATTTTGTGTATTCTTAATTCTATTATCTGGATACTTTTTTCGTTCACTCTTCTCTCTGTATACATTTCCTGGTTTTTGTTACTTTTTGTTGTTATTATTAAGAAAAAGATTCAAAAGAAAATAAAAGTTTGTTTATACTTATATTCTGGTTTTCAATTTCTACTTTTGAACTATTCATGTTCTAATTTTGGTGAATCACTAATTTTGATATGAAATTCTATCAGCAACATCTGACTAAAGATCATACTAAATCCTTTTACGTTACGATAGCCCTGTAAGAACGGTACGAAGACCCTGTAAGATCAATACGAAGGCCCTGTCAAAATTGTTACGAAGGCCCTGTAAACTTGATAGGAAGCTCTTTAAAAATGATACGAAAGCCCTGTCTAAAACGATACGAAAACCCTGTCAAAAATCGATACGAAAGCCCTGCTTTTTATGATTTATGCATTTTACATTGTTACGAAAGCCCTGCTTCTTACTGGGCTTTCGTAACCAACCGTTACGAATCGTTACCTTCCCTTTAAATGATTGCCCTTGAGCCTTATTAATAGACATTGCGAAGGCAAGCCGTACTGGAAACTGAAGTCGTGTAAATTCGAATGGTATATCAGAAGGGAGCAAAGGTATTTTTGGTATGAATACATCTTCACCTTTTGCACAACCTGTCATGATCGTTGCTTCGATTACATGAGGCATTAGAGTTTTGAGACATAGCCTTGTACCATTACATAATCTTGGTGCATCCAGATTTCTTAGGAGCATAATAGATGATCCAATTTTCAGACGCAAGTTATGTGGTGGCATTCCAGGAGGTTCTAGTGAATTGAGAAACTCAGTTGGATACTGAACTACCATGTCGATATCTTTAACTGTATCGATTGATTTGTAAGATATAGCTTCACCAGGAAGTTGTTGCTGTATTTGTAGATTGATAGCCTTTACATTGACGTTTTTCGGAGCCAAAATAGCACGTTCACATAACCATTTGTGATCCTTGTACTGAGTTTGAATGTTTGGAAACACTTTATTCTTGAGTTCTTCGACTGATTCAACGATATTGCAAACGTTGTCTGAAATATTAATAAGTCCACTGACTGGGTCAGCAGGTATTTTGCCATTTCCAATTGCGAGAAGTTGTTCAGCGAAACGGCCGGCAGATACGTCACCTCGTAAGTGCACTCTCATGTTAGTACTGAGTTTTAATGGTACAACATGCCTCCAAAGATACGAAGATTTCAAGCAAGGTTTTAGCTCATCAGCCATGGTACCCTTTGGAATAACTGGTAATGTTTGCCTAAAATCGCCAGTAATAAGTACAACTACTCCACCCATATTCTTTCCATTGTTACGAAGATCCTGTAAAGTGTGGTTCAAAGCTTCTAATGCATACGTATGAGCCATTGTGCACTCGTCCCATACAATAAGTTCACATTCTTGCAGAACCTTTGCTTCGCCAGTTCCTTTGGTAATACTACAGACATGAGTTTGATTTTCCAAAAACTTAAGAGATAACTTTAATGTCAAGTGCGCAGTACGACCACCGTGAAGCAGCGTAGCAGTGATACCGGAAGAGGCGACCGCAATCGCAATCTTTGACCGATGCCGAATTTTAGCCAATAACAAATTAATGACAAATGTCTTCCCTGTTCCACCAGGTGCATCAAGGAAGATTATTCCACCAGCTTTCTTCTCGATCTGATCCAAAATCGCATTGTATGCAGCTCTCTGATCCGGCACCAACAGTGGCTCATTTGCTGTTATATAAGCATCCAACTCTTTCACATTATAACTTGTTTCTCTGAGCATTGCACTGTTTAATCAATCACCCGAATTTCGTTGAGGAGTTGAGAGCTTTAATTTCTCAAGTTCTTTGCCTCCCATCTCTAAAACTTTATTTTCAATAATAATCAGTGCTTCATTAAACATATCTGGTGTATAATCCAAATTCATTCCAGGATTTTGCCTGCCAGCATTTCTCAGAATGTCTTCAATCAAGCTTTCTTTGTACGACTCCCATAATTGTTTTGGATTGGATGGTCCACAAACAGCTAGTATAAGAGCAAATAGATTTCTTAATCTTACTGGCGATTGAGCTGCAGCTGCTTCGGACATGGTGGCATCCCATTGCTGATCATCTTCCAGTAATCCATGTAATTGACATGCTTCACGAAATGTTGCACAGATCTGACCGTTTACTGTTCGAAGAGCTTCAAATGGAGTAGGGCCTCTGACCACATGAAGTAAGAGTCGTAGAAAAAAGCATTCGAAATTATTAGGACGCACAGTGTAAACACGACCCAACGCATCTCCTTCTCAAATGTCTGGGTGACCAAGCACAGCAGTTCCTTGAACACGCCGGTTAAACACTTTTTCAGACGCGTTCCATGTGTAGTATTTTGGAACATCACAGTACAACAGCGTTTTGGCAAAGTCGTCTTTCTGGCGGAATAAGAAAAATGCTGCTAGTGTTGTTCTTGGTGGTTCATTAACTTTCTCACGAACATTATCTTCGGTGAAATAAATGCGTTGACCATTTTCCAAATGAACAGCCAAATGAACAACGGTTGGATATCGTTCGTGAATTGGAAAATCCAAGATTCGCTAGACTGCTTCATTCCTACTGATGTATCTACCTAACTGGTAGTTACTAATTTCATCAACTGGGGCTCCATCTCTTCCCAAACCAAACACTGCCTGATCACTGCCCTTGTTGACATATTTGCAGATGTATTTGATTGATTTTACCGAGTTGCAATATTCCACATTAATGTGGGCTTGAAAGACCCGAGAGAGTAGTGGACAATATGGCACAACCCACTTGTTGTCAATTTCGATTTCTTGAATGGAGTTATTAATTCTCATTTTGATTTTGGCTTTGATACCACCATCTTCTGAATTTCTTCTTCTATACGATGGATATCCATCATCACCAGTTTCTGTATCATGCAAAAGTTGTTTTGGATATCTTTTTGTACACTTTTTGTTTTCCATACACGGAGAGTTTGGATTGATACTTCCACATGGACCGTGAATCATAGTCTTGATAATTATTTCAAACAGTCGAGGATCTCGTTCAGCATCAGGTAATTCTGCGTTGATTACGCGATCTATTTGATCTGCTTTAATTTTGTTCTTCAGCCATATCAACATATGGGCATGTGGTAGTCCTCTCTTTTGCCATTCAATAGAATACATCAAGCATCTTGTTGGCCCAAATACATGGCCTTTGGTAATAATGTTGACCAATTTAATGAGCTTTTGTCTGAACATTCTTGCTAATAGGTCATGACGATCAGAGGGAGCTTGACCTTCCATTAATTCTGCTTGAATTTCTTGCCACTTAGGATTGCAGATGAATGTTATAAAGAGGTCGGGTCTTCCGTGGTTTCTTACATAAGTCATAGCATCTTGTGTATATTCATGCATGTGCCGGGGACTTTCAGTGAAAGTTGCTGGTAGAATCACTAATTGACCAAGATTGTCAGCTCGTCCATCATTGGCTATAGCATCTTTCAGGTGAATGTATTCATCCACTCTAAGCTTTTTTGATTATAACGTAGAAAATATAATCTTTCACTTTCTATCTTAGCGTACATGTCAACCACATACTCATGGAAAAGTTGTCGGCGCTGTAAGATATGATTGACAGCACCATTTCGTACCATAATTCTATAAGCATAAAAATTCATAGCCGACACCTTTTTGCCAGTGACAGCCATTTCAGTTGTTGGATCAGTCTGTTCGATAAGAAAATCGTAGCCATCCTCACTTTTCCAAAAGATGAGAGGATATTGCAAGGCATCATACGATCTGTGTGTCTCAGATACTCTCTGTAACTGACCATTTTTCTTCTCCAAGACAATATCTCGTTTCTCAAAGTCGTTGCCAGCGATGACAACCGCCACCTCATTTGTCACTGGCTCATTGAAACGATGTGCATGCTCTCCAACAGGTTTCATGTCTGCTCGAATAAGCACCTTGTATTGATCTGTAGGCATTCTTTGAAGGGCAGTCTTGAAAAGATCAACATAAATGTGGTGCTCATGAACCATTTGCTGCAGTTTCTCGACAATGTCTTGACGTACGCCAGCCATGTTTTTGCTAAGTTGTTGTACTTCTTTTCGATCGTCGCCCATGAAGTAAATTTGAAGAAATTTATGTTCTTCATTCGAAGGCAGCAGCAGAGATCCTACGCGATGATATACCTGACCCTGAACTCTGAAAGTAGCCATGAAGCCTGAGTCAGCCACTTTCTCTGACGTGCTAAAAGATGTCATTTGAAAGCAGGAATTGTATTTTCTAATGTTATCCAAGAAATGCTTCGATTCGGGCGTTGTGGGTGTGGGTGTGGGTGGGTATGGGTGGGTGTGGGGTGTGGGTGTTGGTGTGGGGTGGGTGTGGGTGTAGGTGTGGGTGGTGGTTGTTCTTGAAGATGAAACTTACACCCACACCCACACCCCACACCCACCCACACCCACACCCACACCCACACCCATATCCTACGTATTCTGAAACATTTGTTTTCCAATTTCACAAACTGTAGAAATTTTGGTAATTAGTTTTATTTTCATTTGATTTTTGTTAATAAGAACTTTGAAAAAGTCTGAAATCATAAATGTTTCAGATTTTAATTTTTCAATATCAATATCATTATGACAAAAATCCATAATTGTTTTAATGTAATCATTGGAACCATCAGATGGCTTATTAGATATATTAAGAATAAAATTTTCAACGTCACATAACATATTAGAGTTCTTTTGTATAAATCGAGTTTGAAGCACGTTAATAATTATTTCTCATGTTTCAACATATTGTTTCTGATAAAAATCTTTACAACTTGCATAATTTATGGAAATTGTATTTTATTCATATCGTCGTGGTGGTCTTCGAAGTCGAGGTAGAATAGGTTTTTCAGTTAAAACTTCACTGTCTTGAACTACTTGATTATAAAACAATTCAAAATTAATATCATATGAAAAAAGTAGAAATGATAGTTTCAATAGATGTATTTGATCGTTTACAGAGTTTATTTTTTACCTTGAATACGTCGAAAACGATGAATAATTGCTTCAGCAGCACAAAAAACATCTTGTAAACAACAATCAGAACTTTGCAATGCACGTGATAGCTTTTTTGCATCTGTAAATATTAAGTGGCCTAGTTTTAATCCAAAAAAAAAGTCGAATTTGTTCATCTGTTTATATAAATCATTTACTTTTGTACCAGGACCACTTTTTTCTTCACTTATTGTGTACAAGACTTCTTGAACTAAAATTCAATTTTAATTTTAGATTTTCGAATGTTTTTTTAATCTATTTAAATACTATTCAAGCTTTAACATAAGTGCTGGTGTATTTAAAGTAATATTTCCTTCTATCGATGTATGAAATTTTTAAAAGCTAGCTAACGAAAAATAACACTCCGCGTTCCAACAAAGATATTATCGCATCACTAAGCATACTATTCATACTTGACCGAATGTTTTCCTTGCAAAATTTATGTATCAAAAGAAACGAGAAGATGGGCAGAAAATATAAATTGTTTTAAGATCATCTCTCTAATAGTTTTAAAGCTTTCTTCAAAGCCAAGTGTTTTCATGATTATGTTTCGCCATATATTATGTGGTAAGCATTACGAAAATGACACCGCATTTTTTTTAATATAAGCAAATATTCCTTTAACTTGTTCATAGGTTTTTAATAACGAACCATATGATTCAGCGCGCAAAGTCCATCTAGTTGAACATAATGCCGTAAGATTTGTATAAGATAACAATATTTGATACAGTATTTCTTTCAAAATAATAAGACGTTTCGGTGATCGACGTATAAAATCAATAATATCTTTTACACAAAATATGCAGTTACTAATAGAAGCACATTGATCTGTTAAATCATGTACGACTAAATCTAAACAATGTGCAACACAGTAGATATAAATAGCATTTGAATACTGTTCAAAATTATTGTTGATACACCACCGTATATTCCAGGCATGTTTGATGCCTCATCGTAACTTTGATCGCGACCATTAATTATGTCTAAGCCACATGGAGTTATAACATCACAAATCGCTTCAACAATTGTTAGAACATTTTGTGCAGATATTCCATATAGCCCTACAACATCTTCAAAAATTTGCAGTTAGAATCAACGGAACTAATGATGATACATAATTGTGCAGTTGTTGATTCATTACATGTATCATCACATATCAAAGAAAACCAGTTTGTGCTGAAAATCTACGTGAAAAAAGTCGAATCATTTTCAATAATAATAATCAATTCAAAATAAAAACTTATGATATTTAAAAATTTAGAGCAGAAAGCTAGACACATTTGAGTCACTTTTTCTGTTCATATAGAACATATACAGCAAAATGTCAAGATTTTACATCAGACTTGTTGATGCACTCTATTGTTCTATGGGCAAGTTATGTTATAGCATTAGTTTGTTGTAATAAAAGGGCAACTATGCAAATTTGCATGAGAAATCTTCATAGAAACTAATATTCTATTTAAATCTTCAAAATGCAATCTGTAACCTAGTTGAAGAAGCAGATGAATACATATTTATATTCATGCTATATTATGACTTTTAAGTTTTTCACATCCATTTCAGTCATACGTACTTCTTTTACAATATCCCGAATGATTATTAAATAAATTTCTTTGCAAATTTCATTAACAATATCATGTGAAATGTATTTCTTATTTTTCATCCATTCGTTTAAATATTCATTATCAACACTTCAAAGTTTTAATAATTGAATCAGATTATTGTTTTCGTCATAATGTCCTCTAAGAGCAAGACCTTGTCGAAGTTGATATATGATGCACGAAATTTGAATTGAAAGACTCTGTCGATGTTATCCTTGTTGTTTTTTAGTTGCTGATGTTAATTGAATTGCTATATTAGGTTTCGTTTGCTGATTGATGACATAAATTGAGTCCAGGTGAAGTTTAATTTTTTCATGAAGCTTAAATCTTGATATGACATTTTTCTAATCACAATAACCATTAACTATAAAAATAACATGATGAGAACATAGTTTTGTTTTAGTACGATGAATTGAAAGTTCAAATGCTTCGCGACATAGACGACAAAAAACTCTCCTTTTCGTCTGCAAGAAAAAAAAATTATTTCTTTTAGATTTAAGTTTTAATTCAGATTATGCATATTATGAACAAGACTCACTTTACAAAATGTTAACCATGGATAATCTGTAAAGCATTTTTTCTGACAGGATCGTTTATTAATTGTTGTTGAAACTAATTCATCCTCTTTAAGTGGATGAGATGCTTTAGAAGAACTACAATAATTTAAATCACATTTAGATATATCTAAGTTATTATTGTTTGACCTAAGGAAGTTGTTAATGATGATACAGATACTGAATTTTTTTAGCTGATGTTGTTGACAATGATAATAAATTTTTTTTTCTTGTTGTTGGTGATAATAATACGGAGCTATTAGTTGTAGATACTAATAGTAGTACTGAATTGTCTGTGGTTGATGGTTTCTCAGACTTATCAAGTCTAAATTGATTTGAAGATTGATCATAGTTTTCTTGAAAATTATTAATATTAGACAAACTTGATGGGTCAATATGAAATGAAAACGGAGTTAGAGCAAACATTTTTCTCTTTTTATTTCGAAAAATTGTTGAAAAATTATTCAAAGCAATTACAGTCATTTGTTTTATAGAATCTTCTGCCAAAGGAGATAATTCCTGTTCTTTTACTTTTTTTTGTAAAATATTCGAGGATTGATGGAGATCTTTTTGATGATATATTTTTCTAATCTAAAATTTCAACACTATCAGAATATCAAAAACATTTTCGATCCTATTAATATATATAAACACAAAATATAATATCGAGTTTTTATCAGTAAAAATGGAATACTGAATTCATTTTCATACGATATTGATAAGCTTATGAAACGAACTTGATAAAGAAAATCCAGTAAGTTGATATTTAGATAAGATAAACAATAAAATTGTTCAGACTTTGTTGTTCAAATTTCAGAAAAATTTTAAGGCTATATTTCACAACACAAGACGAATGATACGATTATATTTTTAAAAATGGAGATGATCTCTAAGATTTCTCTTGGTTTTGTGTGTATGATATCGCGTAATTCTACGATTCGTTTATTTCACACACCATTACATCAAACTAAAGGTGACACTGTGAATAGTCACAATGCAATGGAATCACAAAGTCTAAGTTTATTATATTGCTCAAGTTATTTTCTATTCTTTTTCATCGCAATAAAGATATAAACCGTAAGAAATATCAATTTTCAAAGTAATATAAGGTTTTATTTATAGAAAAATTTTAAATAATATAGAAACGAATAAACTTCAAATTAAAAATTTCGGTAACACTTAGCCTATACAATTTAAAATCAGGTGAGGCTTAAGCCTCACGGGCCTAGAGTCTCTGCCGGCACTGATTTAAACTCTGAGGAATTCTTCCTAAAGCTAGCCCAAAAAACCAAAAGCGCAAATTTCACCCCAATTATCCATCATAATTGAAATTTTTGCGAATTTTACATGAAATTAGCCCAAAAGCCGAAGGCAAAATTTCATCCCAATTACGTACTAATATAATTCAAACATCAACTAATTTAATACAAAAGTAGCCTAAAAGGCTAAAACAAAATTTGACGCTAATTATAAATTATAATTCAACCTTTCGAGAATTCCAAATGAAACTAACCCAAAAATCCAAAGAGAAACTTTTATCCCAATTATAAATTGTAATTTCAATTTTGGCTAATGTTATCTATAAGTAGCCGAAAAACTGAAAGCCAAAATTTGATCTCAGTTATAAATTATAAACCAAATTTTGGCTGTTTTTACACCAAACTAGTTCAAAAAGTGTAAGCGACAATTCTAGCCTATATATAAATCTTAATTCAAGTTTTGCAGAAGTTTCATAAAACTAGCCCAAAAAACCAAAGGAAAAATTTTATCCCATTTAAAAATTATATTTCAAACTTGGCTAATGTTATATAAAACTACATTGTAAACTAGAAAATAAGTTATAGAGTTTGCTCAAGGATATTCTAAGAATGCCCAGATGAAATCACCGAGGAATTTTCAATTTTTCGAAAATAAGATATTTCAAACATCAAGACTAAGAAATTTGATTTTGCTAATTAGAAAATCGCAAATGAACTCATATGGGCATTCCTGGAATTTCGGATTCTATTTATCAATTTGAATATTTTTTAAAAACTCGAAAATCGAATTTTTATTTTTACATATGATGTAAAATTCGTATAATAATATAAAAAATAATTTTAATTCAAATTAAAATAAAACTATAAATAACTGACTTATATAAATGCACCAAGTAACATGAATAATAAATTTGAATTTAAATCTTAATATAACCTTGTGATTCATAAAAATGCATCGATTAAAATGGATCATCAATTTAAATTTAAATAATATTTCCTAGACTGAAAGGCTAGGGTCTAGAAACCTAAATTCACCTGTGTCTGTCTGTCTGTCGGTAACGCGGTACAAGTGACCATTTTTTTGGCACATGTGACCATTTTTTGACACAAGTGACCATCTTTTTGGCTTAAACGACTGTTTTTTTGCACAAACAACCATTTTTATGGCACAAACGACCACTTTTTTTGGCAGAAACGGTCATTTTTTTACTAAAATTAACTAGGTAACTTCAGCATGTAACTATGGCACAAACGGTCATTTTTTGGTAGAAACGACCACGTCACTATGGCACAGGTGACCATATAGCAACTATGGAACAAACAACTATTACGGTAACTATGGTACAAATGACCATCTAAAGAATGATGTAAATGAA